ACCACCGGCTTGAAGAAACCCTGCATCATCCTCATCAGGGCACTGTCCCAGCACCCTGACGCGACGCAGCCGATCCACCTCGGCAAATTCGCCTAGCTCAGCCAGAGCTCAGCTGCTCGACCACGACGGTATAGCTCTGTACCGGCACGCGGCGATCTGCTTGCGGATCGTGTCGACCGAGGACAGGTAGTGGTGACCGAGAGCGTATGACCAGGATGCCGACGATGCCGGCGGAGGCGAGCGTCAGCAGGCGGGCGTAGCGGCGTCTGAGGAGGCGCGGTGTGGAGAATTGTTGCGGGTTGGTGGCGAGGCTCGTGGTGGGGGAGGAGGGGGTGGGGTGGATGTGGAGGGAGTGCACGCGGGAGGCGAGGGCGAGGAGGAGGGCGGTGGGGGGTTGCGAGATGTGGAAGATGGAGTGGGTTTTGAGGGCGTCGGCTGAGAGGGTGGTCGGGAAGGGGTCGAGTTCGGGGGTTTCTCGGGGGATGACGAGTCTGCGGTTGGGGATGAGGCCGGTTGGGTCGTGGATGACGTCTGTGGAGAGGAGGTTTGTGTATCCGCGGCGGATGTGTAGTTTGGAAGCGAGGGTGCGGATGTGTTCTTGGTAGGTTACGTCTGCCATGAGGACGACTGCGGTGTCTTTATCGGGGTATTGTTTCTCGAAAGCGGCTACGGTCTCGTCTCGGTCGAGGTTGTGGTATGTGAAGACGTAGATAACAGGGAGGCGAGACGTCGGGGAGAGACATGACCGGCCGTAGTGTACCACAACATCAGCGTCGGCGTGTTCGGCTGCGATCTCGTCAACGCAACACGCGCTGTAGGAGGTGTCGGCGAGTATCGTGATCTTCTCGAGCAGCCGAGAGATGCATTCGCTGAACTTGAGAGAAATTTAAACTTTGGCGTTTAGAGCATTGACTACCCATGAGTGCATCGCGCAACATATAGTCGGGAAAACTGCAAAGCTACCCTTTTCCATCCCTTTTGTCGCGCTCGTATCGCTGTCCCCGCGATATCGTAACGTATTAGGAGTTCCTCGTCATCTCTCGGCGGCAACTGCGCCTCTGTTTCTGAAGGTACAACGGCGTATTCGAACCCCTGTTCGGCTGGTGTCGAAAGGACGGGTGCTGCTGACAGTTCAGTTGCCATTGCGATATTACCTATGGCGGGTTTGAGAGGTGTGCGGCGCTGAACATGCTTCGGCCGAAATTTTTGGTGGGGTCTTCCGAATTTAAAATGCCCCGCGATTTGGGTAACGTCTGCAAGCCGGGTAACTGTGGGGCCTGGGGGGATCGTCGTGGGGAGCCAGGCAAAGATTGGCCGCAGGCCCTACGACCAGCCCGTGAGACGAGAGACCGAAGACGAAGGCGGTGGTGCAATGCTTAACTAGGTAACGAGTTAATGAGACATTCTGAGACTTAGGGTGATCTAGACACGGTAAGACGTCCAGCGGCCGATGTAGGTTTCACCATTACATCGTTTTATTTCTTTCCGTTTTTTTTCTGAAATCAAATTTAGTTACAGGTCTCGTTCCCGCGATTACAAAATGGTATCGCCAAAAGCTCTCGCCCTCGCCTCTATCCAAAGTACCCAAATTTATCCATGTCCCAATGCATCACTGAGACATTCTAGAAAATCTTCCGCGGGCTCCATCCAATAGCAAGCACGCGGGCGGCGGTGTAGCACCCCAACGCAACGACATACGACACGCCCGCGAAGATGATTAAGTATGTCCAAGAATTCGATCCGGAATCCAAAATTGCGCCGCCGATCGGGACACTGCTGAGGGTTCCAAAACTTGCAACCATCATGGCAGTCGAGAAGAGGCGGCCGTACTGCCGGTGATCGCACAGCTGCCCCAGGCAGACGGGCACCAGGCCCAGGTTACTCCCGCTTGCGAATCCAAAAAGTACCGCGTACACGATCAGTACCGCTTCCGATGTGCCCGCTGGTAACCATATCGCCAGAACCGTGATGACGCACAGTGTGATGGTAACGATGATGACGTTGAACCGGCCGAGGCGGTCGGCGAGAAACCCGGGAAGGACTCGCCCGAGGACCGACCCGGCATTGAGGTACGACAGAAGTAAATAACTTTCGGTCGCATCCTGTCCGTTGGCGGCGGCGTATGAGACGATGTATGTCAGCGGGATGAACAGACCCCACTCCATGAAGAAAATGCCGATCGAGGCAAACGCGAACCGGGCGTCCATGAAGACGCTAAAGTCGGGCCAGACCGACTGCACCTTGGGCCGGCCATCAGGGCCCCTGGCGGGCGGCAGCCTCGTCTTGATGAAGAGATTCGAGGGGATCGCCAGGCCGAGCATGATAAAGGCTAGGATGCGACAACTCCAGCCAAACCCGACATTGGGCAGCAGCTCCCTAAGCAATACGGGGAACACTACGCCGCCGACGCCGCCGGCGGTCGATGCAATCCCCGTAGCCAGTCCCCGACGCGCGTTGAAGAAGTGTGCAATGGCTCCATAAGCCGGACTGTTCAACATCGCACCCCCCAACCCACCCATCACCGAATAAGTGAGGATGATCTGGTAATACTCTGTGTTCCCGTCAGCCACCGACACTCAAAATAATAGGACCACACTGAAAGGATAAACAGCATAAAAATGAACAGATAAAAGTCCAAAAAAAAAAAAAAAAGACATACCATCACACCAACTCAACAACAACAAACTCAAAAAGATCAACGCGCCCCCCACCGCCACCGGCACGCGCGCCCCAAAGCGATCAAAGAACGGCCCGACCTGGATCCCCACAAAAAACACGATAAACAGGTACAGGCTGAAGATCCACCCAATCTCGGACGCCGTCTTGTGCGCCAGCTGGTGCGTCGAAAAGTACGACTCGAACACGGCCGCCGAGTTGATCAGCCCGAATAGCGACAGCATCGCGCAGAAAGATCCCAGCACCACCAGCCAGCCTGTCAGGCCGCCCTCGGGGAAGTCGATTGTGGTTGCTGTTGAGGGGTGCAGAGTTAGGGCGGCGGCTGTGGGTAAATCAGCATCGTCGAAGGGGGGTTGGTTCTTTTCGTTGTTGTTGTTGTTGTTGTTGTTGTTATTGGTGGTGGTGGTGGTGCCGTATGCGGGTTGGGACCTGGTGGTGGTGGTGTCATTGTGGGCGGCTTCGATGTCATCATGGGCGGTGTGGGTGGGGATGGTGTCGCTGGAGCTGGAGGGCGGTGATTGCTTTTCGGGGTCGGGCAACGAGAGCGTGGACGAGTCGGTGGTGGCGTAGTTGGCGTAGTTGGTATCGTTGGCGTCGGTGGCTGGGCAGGCGTTCCCTGCCTTAACGGTATCGCTTTTTCCCGTCATTCTTTTTTGTTCACGATAATCGGCGATAACAGCAGAGGCAAACAGGGGAAGCCGGCGAGTGGGTTCCGGACGGTTCGGCAATGCTTGGGTTGGGCACTTACTCCGGCTCGGAGACGCTGGATTTATTTAAAGTGGGATGACCTGGAGTTCAATCCCGGTCGACTGCTTGGTAGTGGCACGTTATGCTTCACCAATTGACTTAAACCTATTGTTCAGAACAAGAATGAAAAATTATTGAAACGGTTTTGAAGAAAACTGGGATTTCAATTCCTTTTTGCCTGCCGCTGTGACCAGAAAAATTCTCCGTGGGTCTGGGTTTCTTCTCCACCTTCCTCTAAAGTCATAGCAATCCATCACCCGAGTCACATCCAAGACCCGACCCGGCAGCCGTTGGTACTGTATCGTTTTTTTTTTTTTTTTTTTTTTTTTTTTTGCGTGCGGGATCTCAGTCCTACCAAAATGGCGTGCGACGGTGTGGCAGGGTCAGAAATCCCCGCATTCTATTCACAAACACGCAAAGTTCGGGTTTTCCGTGTCTCATGTCTCCGAACCCGTCTCGGACCGTCGTAAGACTTGGGAGACTTGCATCGGAGACCGCCACTTCTCCCGGCAAGACTCTTGGCATATACATACCGACAGCCGAAGCTAACCTCTCGGGGAACTGCTAACCTGTTCATTAGAAATAGAAACTGAGACCTTGCCGACCTTTATTCCCGGTGTTTGTGCCGGTGGCTGTGAGCACGTGAGAGAAACTGAGACTGACTGTGCTCAGGTGGCATCTGTCATCGCCAATGCTTCTGGAGAGTAATACTGATCGGAATGCAGACATGTATGTATTGCTTACATCTCCACATGGATCGTTCCGCTCCCATGTCTCGGGACTCGTGCCGCGTGAACCTCGCGGGCATATGGTTGACAGGGGCTCGTGAGCTCACATGTCCTACCGCTGGTCTCCGTCACGAATTGACAGATGCGGGGCGAATTAAAGCTGGCTGGGAACAACCCGTTCGTGCGCTTCGTGGTCTATCACACAAGCGGTCTCGCACCGGCGAATCACCAAGAGTGAGCCAGGGAAGAAGGTGGTGGAACCGTACGTCTCCCATGGCAAGTGGCACAACATGAAGACGACCTCTGAAAACAAACTGCAGTGATGCTGATGTCAAAAGAGGCAAGTTAAGTGATAGGAGACTTCGCGGCGAGGAAATCTTGACATTGGCCCAAAATATGTATCTGCTACGGCTATCTCAAAATTTCAACTCTCACCGCGAGACTTGGCGGTGTCTGTGAACCGAACTTCGATCTTCGACTTGAAATTTCGCCCTGACGGAACCCAAGGTGACTGGGACTGAGGGGGCATGGTGCCACGTTTCTCGACTACCTCTGCAACAATCGCTCGGATGTGAGTTGCGCAAGTGGCATAACCCCTCCCTGTGTGATTTCCAAGGGAGTGAGAAGTAACTAAGTCCTAGCAAAGCGAACCTACTAGTGATAGTCGGGTTGATGAGGATCATTGGACTATCTTGTATGTTTGGTAACGACCTGAAATTTAAAAGCCGTCCCGTCCCCTCTTGAGAACCCTGGGCCCTGCCTGACACTTACTAATAGCCCATCGAATGCGACTCCAACAATGCCATTTACAGCGTCGCTATCAACTATTGCGAAAAGGTCTTGGCACAACTGTATTCCACGACTCAAAGAGCACCAAGAAAACGGATAGATTGCAATTGGACACGTCCGGCAGCCATGGTCCGGCGCTTTACCGAAGATCACAGCCCAACCTCCCTGCCAGCCGCCGCCGATCCGGGTGAATGTGGCAGCATGGCCGCCAAGCGGTGCGGATATGGCGGATCCCCGCTCCTTACGTGCCATCCAGTGCCATCCTTTAATATCCTTGATTGTCGCTCGCTTTCCTGACCGGGACGGTGGTGTTGACGACTATGCCTTGAGCGTGGGAACCGGGGTTTGGAACCAGCATCTAAATTGCCTGTGCCTGGTAGATGGCCACTCACAATGCCGCAGCATTCGAATGGTCGCCATAAGAGGGCCGTTCCCGCTCCTCACAGCACGGATAGTGCCGAACCGCGACTTGTATGCGGTGGAATGTGAGACCAACTCCACCCCTAGACCGTCTGCTTGCCATCAAATCCCAGGACTAGGGCCTAGGTGTCCTAGCATTACACCCGATACACAATCCTGACAAACATCAAGATTAATCCAAAACTATGGGTCACCTCAGCACCCTCGCGGGCGTCGTTGCCCTGTCGTCAATGCTTGCAGCCCCTGTCTCGGGGCAATCATGCTCGGGCGTCACCGGCCGGTTCCAGCCGAAAATGGGTTCGGGATACCGGTACAGCGTGCTAGCAACCGGACTTCGAAACCCGCGGCACATCGCGGTGGACTCGGCGGGTAATCTGTTGGTGACTGAGGGAGCGACCCAGGGCGTCAGACGGTTGGTCTTGGAGGACCAGGGCGACATTGTGTGCGTCCAGTCCAACACCCAGATCATCAGCGGATCCGTAAGCCAGAACCGGGTCTTCTCACTACACATGAAGAAAGTGATTATTAACAGGAAACGTTTAGACCAACCACGGGATTGCGCTTAGTGCCGATGGCAAAACGCTCTTCACCTCCAACCTTGCCAGTGTGACTGCATACTCCTACGATGCTAGCACCGGCCAAGTTGGGCAGGGCAAGCAGATCGTGACGGGCATGTCCTTCCAGGGAACGCACCCGACTCGAGCCATTGCTACATCCAAATGGGACTCGGACACCATCATCGTGGCCCGTGGATCACAGGCCAACATCGACACGAGCACCACTGACAAGGCTGCCGCCCGTAGCATGATCAAGTCCTTCAGCATTAGCCAGGGTATGCAGAGTGCCTACGACTACAACACGGCCGGCGAGATCATCGGCTGGGGTCTCCGCAACATTGTCGGTATGACCGAGGATCCCAACTTTGGCGGTTTTGTACGTGCCCTTTCCCGAAGAAAGCGAAGGAAAGGAATAGGTTAAGCGCAAATACTGACGCCGCAAAGTGGTCTGTCGAGAACCAAATGGACGACGTCAAAATCAGCGGGCGCGATATCCACAACGACAACCCAGCCGAGCGGCTTAGCTACCACGGGGTGCTCAACGCGACCGACAACAAGTACAAGGGCCTGAACTACGGCTACCCGTCGTGCGTGCCGGCATGGGACGCAGCGGGCGTCGGCATCGACGGCCTGCTGGTCGGCAGCCTTTTCAAGCCCGACAACGTGCCCGACGTCTCCGCCGACGAGTGCGCCAACAACCGCATGACGGGCCGCCTGCACTTCCACGCCCACACCGCCCCGCTCGACATCAAGTTCAACCAGAACAGCACCGCCGCGTACATTGCCTTCCACGGCAGCTGGTATGTCTCCCTTGGACCCTTCACCCGCCATATCTCGTAAACCTCCTCGAAGGAGATCTGAAATTGGTTTAAATATTTGTTTTTTTTTTTTTTATTTTTCTCCCCCACCAGTTTTGGGGGGTACAGAATAATAATAAAAATCCTCATTTCAACGTTTTTTATATTTTTTCCTTAACGAGTTTTTTTTTACCGGACTTCCTGCGATTTTTTTGAACTGTTTATTCTTCGTGTGGTCTTTTTTTATTGTTGCTTTTGTTCTTCTCTGTCCGGGGTTGTGGGAGGTTTTTCGTGGAGGTTGTGAGTTTTCTTCCACCACAATGATAATAGGGAGAGTTTTTGCCCTTCTTTTTGGGTTGGTTTTTTTTTTTTTTTTTTTTTTCCACCACTCCCCCCCCCCCCCTTTTTTTTTTTTTCTTTTTTTTTTTTTTTTTTTTTTTTTTTTTTTTTTTTTTTTTTTTTTTTTTTTTTTTTTGTTTTGTGTGGGTTCGTTCTTTTCTGAGTTGTGTCTGTTTGTAGTTTCTGTGGGGGATATACCGGGAGGTTGTCGCATTGTTCTCGAGCTATCTCCATGGTACAATACTATGTTCTGGATGGGCTAACCGTAGGCTCATCAGCTGCTTGATTAAGTGGTGCAGCTTATATTAGTCTGGGAGATTTCCGCCTGTATTCACACTGCCCAACTTCAGATCCTGTACCCCCTTCTCCTTATCAAACGCAACGTTCACTGCTGTTTTCTAGTTGTCTTATTTACAGGATATCAATGTATATGGCCCCTCTTCCAAAACGAACGCTAGCCCAAGAGAATGTCCCTGCGCCTCTGCGGTCCCCAAAAGGCAATACCTACCCCCGCTGGTCAATCTCAGCCATGCTTTCATAACCAAGAATGCACGGCGAGTCTGGCTGCGGCGTCATGCCATCACCCGCCCCTCCGAGATGGCCGGACCTTTCGCATCCTGGCTAGATACCGAGTTATAGCCACCGTCCAGCAGCACCTCGTTTTTCCTCGTCGAGTGCTTCGACACCTCTCTGAGCCCGTGCAGCTCGAACAACAAGATGAGCCTACAGACCACCGTCCCACAGAGAAACCTAACGATAACCGGAATCACATCACCCAAGCTATCAAAGATCTGGCTCGACAAGGCCACCGTACCGAAAACAAAAACGACGACCGAAGCCATCTCGGTAAAGTACTGGACCACAATATACAATAAACCCTTTTTTTCAACTTCCGTCAAGAACAACGGATCCCCCGCCGCGCAGGGCACAAACTCGCCTTTGATAGCGTCAACCCACGACGTCCGCCCCGCAAACTCCTCCGAGCCTTTGGCATGCCTGGATGCCCGGTACCCCAGCCTCAAGCTCCAGAAGCCAAGGAGATAGGCAGGAACCAAAAGCATGACCCAAAGAAACGGCGAATACGTCTGCGACAACCCACCCGTGTCGACCGCAATCGCCGAGACCGAGACCGACCAGTACGCGAGCTGATACAGCTGATAAAACACATTGGCTTGTGACGTGACGGCCAGCAGATACTCCACGGCCGAGATGACCAACCACGGCCAGGTAGCGCTCGCCAAAATGCCGCAACGGACCGACACATCAACGGCGCGCTCGAGCGGCTCGGACAAGGGACCGCCGGTGCGCACCGAGGGCATGGCGACGCCCAGCAGGACGGCGAGCAGGGGGCGGCGCGTAGCGAGGATGGCGACCTCGGCGACCGAGGGCCCGACCTGCTGGAGGATGGTGGGCAGCAGGCCGAGCACGACGGCCGTGATGCCCATCTCGGTCTTGCGGAACTCGTCCATCTTGTCCAGCACGCAGTTGGAGAGCTCGTAGGCTAGCCATCGGTCGGGGTTGGACGGGTCGTGGTAGGCGGCGGCCTCGTTTTGGCAGCCGGCTTCGTTGGGTTGGCGGATGATGTTGAGCAGGTAGCCGTTCCAGGCGGGGAAGAACTCGCCGAATTGGCTGGTGGTTCGGGCCATGGTTGGGGTTATGGCGGAGAGGAATGCTAGCGCGGCTAGCGAGGGGAGGTTGGGACGCATTGTGATCACTGTGCTGGTTACTTCAAAGAGGGTTGTGGCGAATGGCGAGAGTCTGAATTTTGAGCGTCTAATTAATTCCCCAGAAGTGGATGACGCCTGGCCGCACAAAGGTAAGCAAACATGCCTACCTAGGTAAGTAAATGTAGGATCCGAGGGCCGCGTCTCAAGCTGAAAGCACCAATGCATGTCGTTGATCCTGCATATTGTGAGAACCAATCAAAGTACAATGTGAATTGCCTTGTGGGACCGATATTGGGGGATTCATCAAAGCATCAGCCGCGTCTGCCGCCGGCTGGCTAATTCCCCAAAGCAACAGCATCTTCCTGATCCTCGCGGGCAGCTACTTCGGCTGCCGCTGGCGCCCGATCATGGTCATCTTCAATGTCGGGATCCAGGGCATCTAGGCCATCGATGAATCGACCGGAGGCCCGCGGTGCCGCTGTGCCGGGTTCGTACGAGTCTCTCCCAACCTGGCGCAGGCGCTGCAGACCGAGTTTTGTATTTGTAACCATGGAATTGGCTGTGGCGCCTTTGACCGAGGTCACGGCGACCACAATACAGTCCTCAATGCGGTCCTCAACGGAAGTCTGCGTTTGGGCGCTCCGCTCGGCATCACGGCGCCGACCCCGAAGTCCCTGCTGAACTTGCTCCTTCCTGCTGCTGCCCTCAATAGCTCGCCCCTGCCCTAATCCCAATGCTGCTGGCGCCGTTGATGGCGGCGGTGCTGCTGGCCCGAATCGCTTCGTTGAGGCTGCGCCGGCCTGTTGCTGCTATGTCACGAATATGCCAACAGGCGGAGACCTGGGGCAGGGAGAGCCCCGGGTCAGTCATTATGACTGGACCAATCAACTGGTGCACGAGTGATCAGGGAGCTCAGTTGCCAAGCAAACTGAGCACACTGAGCACACAAGGCCAAACCACCAATCAGATGTCCAACCCAATTAAAGGTGATCAGTGTGATCAGTGTCTAGAGGAACTGAGCACACTGAGCACCTAGGAGTTAGACAGGTATATAGTCACTCGTTCTGGAGAGCTCTGGGAGTTCTTCAGTTAGCAATCACAACTACAGTTCGCTACAAGTTCGAAAGCCTACTGTTGAGACAAGTATTTGTTGTGCACCCTTTGGCTGCACCGAACCTAAGCACCCTTGAGAGATTACCTTCGACCGAAGCTGAACCCTAACAGGACAGGGTCCTGAAGTAGGTTCGTCACATGCTGCTGCTGCTGCTGCTTCGGCGCCGGTACTGCCGTGGTTAGTTCGTCTTCGATGTTGTATTCGAATGCTGACGGCAGCCGCTTGGTGCTGTTGACGCCAGCGCCCTTCTTCCTGGAAGCAGCAGAGGTAGTGGCAATTGCCCCAACAGGGCGGCCCTTGCCCTTCACCTGACGAGGATCCAACGGGATGTCTGGCATCGGCATAATCCCAACCACTTCAACATTGGGATTTCTACTGTCATCATCGCCAACATGCTGTTGTTCCTGCGGCCGCCACAACCACCAATGCTTGTGAATCTGCTGTATGGTCACTGGCTCGTCGCCAGTCAGATGTCGGTATAGAATATGCCGACAAGGGAGCCCGTGAGTGGCCTGGATTGTACAGGTACAGCTTGTAGTCAGGGGACCATTGTTTGCTGGAAGAGAGCTGACTTCATTCGCTAATAGCTGCAGAGCGGTCGGCGAGACTTGCCCACGAATCCAACTGAAGACAACACTTGCTAGGTCAACCCTGACCTTGTTGGTGGCTTGGGCATGTTCAATATCAAGGCTGGCGCGCTGTTGTTGCTAGAACAGCATTAGACGCCCGAATACGCTCTTGAGGTCGGCCCTAGAAGAAACAAGGTATTTCTTGATCGCAGCATGGGAGGATTCCACTGCTTGAGTAGTGGTGTGGCCCATGTGTGGTACTTGGTTAACCCAAAACGTGACCAACTTCTCCTGTAGGGCGTTAGCGACCGTCGACAACACCATAGGCACCCAAAGACCACGCTACCAACCTTCCAAGGCTCGATCCATGTTGCTACAGCGTAATCTACAGCTGCATCTGGATGCCGGCCCGGTGTTCTGAACTTGGCCAGGTTCTTGTTGAAGTCATCCTCTGTAACGGAAGCAAGGAGAGCATTCCATTCTTTCAGGAATGCCTTAAAGGTCGGATGGCGGCGATATTCGCTACCGTGCTTTGTAGCTGCTGGAAAGTGGCGGCGTGCCTTGGCAAGCACATTCATGTTAACATGCCATCGGCATAGCAAATGCGGAATCGACACCCAAGCGCTGTTGTTTAGGGCGTTAAGCAGGGCGAGCTCGCGATCTGTTACAATTAGACCAGGCACTTTGATGCCCTCGTTCTGAAGGATTCGGATCAGGGCCGCCAAAGCGCAGCTATAATCGCCCTCCTTCTCGCCGCTCATGAATGTGACAGCCCAGTTAAAGGTCTTGTTGCCAGAGGTAACCCCGCAGGCGTTGAAAAGGGGCCTATTATGGTGGTTGGTCTTGTAGGTTGAATCCAAAAGCAGGAGGTCAGGGTTCTGCTTAAGCAGCTGGAGACCGCTCTTAGGAGCGATTGTCAGGGATATGACGTGGCCAAGACTGTCACGCGTATCCTCCCATACAAATTTGCTGGCCTCGGGCTTAAGGTAGTCCTCGTACAGACACTGCAGCGGAGAACGGCCCCGAAGCTCGGCGCGACGGTGGCGTTGAAGTAGGTTGATGATATCCTGGCCGTGAATACCCCGTTGTTCGGCTTGGATGGCAGCCAGTATCTGTGCAGGTCGGGAGCCGCTGTTCGAGAGCTTGATGACCTCCTGTTCGAAGGGAGCGAGGGCATCAGCTCTGGCGCCAGCAAAGGCAGTGGGGTCGCTCCAGCCGTGGTTGTGCAACGCTGCTGGGCCGTCAGGAAGCTTCACAGCCCATCTACCGTCAGGGAGAGGCCGGGCGGCGAGCTGGAACTTGCAGCCAGTAAACTGCGTGCTGGTCTTGCGGCGCTTGGATTCGTGGGTTTCGGGATTGGCCTGAGGTTTGTACTCACGACCCTTGGCACAGCGGAAGCACGCTCGGCCAGATTTGGTGCCGTTCTTGACCATCCTGTAGCCGTTGGTGGAAGCGTGGGCTTGGATGGCTGCCTATGCCTCCTCCAAAGTGCCGTAGGTATTCTTGGGCGGCGGCGGGCCGCAGGGCCGCTCTAGCGTTTGCGATGAGCATCCAGCTGCTTCCATTCTGCTTAAGAATAACATCATTGGCTAGATAATTAGAATCAGGGTCTGAAAGCATACCTGACAGGCTCGGCGGCAGCAGGCCGTTAATTGGAAGCGGAAAGTTAATGCTGTGGCAGTAACACTGCTGTGAAGATCAGCGCTGCTCAAAGATCAGATTGTAGATCAGATCTATCAATCCAGAGCAGTCCAGTCGATTCAGATCGGCCATTTCTTCAGATCAGTCGGATCAGATGAGCACCTTACAAATCTGATAATCTGATTGTTATCTATACCATACTTTTGGCCCTTGGTCAAGGCACCGAATCCCTTCATTTTGAGTGTTAATTATAGAGAGGTGGATGAATGTGTCGGGTATTACTTTTTCCGGGCCAGAACAAGCCCTGTCTAGCGCTAAATTGCGGATTCCGCGCGTCGCTCTGTCCACTGTTTGTACGCGCGCGCGTGTGTGTGACGACCACTGAGGCTGATCCGATTCGCCAGTTAAAGTTAACCCAACCTCGCAATGTCGACTGCTGCACAGAGCAGCTACGCAGCCTCTACTGCAGACAATGCCAACAACGTTGCAGCAGTCTTCCTCCCCCGCCCTCGATCTCGACTGCGCACCATCGCGAAGCAGTACGACGAAGCTGCGCAGCAAACCGTCACACATACCGACGAGCCATACAAGATCGTTTGGGGGAGCCGAACTTTCGTCATTAGCGGTGTTCTAAACAAGAAGAAGAGCCGTGGCCGTCGTTCCTGGATTACTCGTGAGGGTTGGTTCCTAACGGAGCTGACGACAACAGGGAAAGGTCAAGCAGGATGTCTGGTGCTGTCGACGCTGCGATGCCTACGGCAAGCCCCAGTTTTTCAGCGCTCAATCAACCTCGGCCTCGCAGGGACACCTTCTAAGGCTAGCATAGCCCTTGCCGTTGTTCTAATCACGTTGCTAACGGTTACAGGTCCCACAACATCGCCGAGGACAGCCCCAGCCGGCCAGACAACGAGATGACCGTCCTTGACATCCAGCGAGAGGCTAGCAACCGATCGACCCCTTCCAGCATTCCACAAGCGAAGATCAGTCGGGCCCGGGAGCTTCTAGTAGGCTATATTGTCGACGGCGACTTGCCCTTTACTGCTCTTGAGAGCGTCTACATCAAGGAGCTCTTAAAGCAGCTAGACCCTGGATTCGCCCAAGAGCTCCCTCACAGTAGATCGACAATTGGAAGGGATATCAAGGAGGTTTTTGAGTCGAAGATGATGGCGGTCAAGGCTGACCTGACGAAAGCCCTCCAGTCAGATTCATATTAGCTTCGACCTTTGGACCTCTCCAAACAACCTAGGCCATGATTTCAGTCTTTGGGCACTTCATCAATCAGAAGAAAAATGCCCCAGAGCAGGTTGCTAGCCTTCCGTCGGCAGCTAGGGAAGCATTCTGGGAATTACATCGCGCTCACGATCCAGGATATTCTCAAAGGCTTGGGGGAATTGGGGAAGCAGGTGGGTGTCTGCGTCGCCGACAATGCAGGGAACAACGACACATGCCTCAAGGCCCCTATATCGATCCCTCGATCCCACCATAACCGACCGAGATATCAAGGCGCGTCGAATGCGATGCTTCGGTCATGTCCTCAATTCTTGTTGTTCCAGGCTTTCCTTTTTGGGCCAGGATGCTACCTGCTTCCGAGAGGGATGGCTTATACCCCTTTTCCCTTTGGAGTGACGAACGAGGCTGAACTAGCACATTGGAGGAGCAAAGGGACCTTGTTAGGAAAGCTTTCACATATATCGTACAAGTTCATACAAGAGGCGTCGCCAGCAAACGATCCGAGGACATATCCCGACACGACATGCATAAGGGAAGACCCAGACCTCTGACGACTATCTGTTGTCAGAGGAGCCGACCTGGGACCTTGGCCTCAAGCAGGACAACAGCACGCGCTGGAACTCAACTTACCTGATGATCGAGAGGGCTGTCAGGAAGAGGAATGATATCAACAGCTTTATCTTGGAGCTTGATCTTGAATCTGATGGTGACAAGCGGATCCCTGATGCTGACAAACTAACCACCGACGACTGGAAGGCCCTGATCGAGATCAAGACGATCTTAGAACCACTCTACAAACTGACGATAAAGACCCAGGGATGGGGGCAGTCTGGAACAAGTGGTCGACTTTCAGATGTTCTAATGGGGATGGAATATGTATTGGGACATCTTGAAGGTTACAAGACTCTATACGACAAGGATTCCGGTCTTGAAGCTGCTCGAGCAGCTGAAGCTTCGGCGGATCTAGCGCGTAATCAACCAACCAGTCTATCGCAGCTTCGATCGACGCGGCGGCTGCGCTTCAACGAAGGGGCCCTGCCTTCTCATGCCCGCGACGAGTACGTCACGATGCCCGACAGCGACGGTCTGCTTAGACTCCAAGCTAGAGAGCGGGCCAGCATTCGGGCCAGCATCAACAATGCCTGGAAGAAACTTGACGAGTACTACACGAAGCTTGCGGATTCCCCTTTGTTCACTGCAGCTATCATTCTGAATCCAAATCTCGGCCTTCGGTGGCTGCGGCGTCGGTGGAGGGATCCCGAACAACATGAGTGGCTCGTTGCTGCGAAAGATGGTCTCAAGGAATACTTTGACCGCTGGTATTGCAGCTCTGATGATCCCCAGCCTCAGGGTCGATCTGTCTGTCGAGATTTAGGCCGGGAGGACGATGCTTACGAGGCCTTCGTCAACAGCGGAGTCAGTTCCGATGAAGATGGTAACGAGGACGAGATTGACCGGTACTACAACATGAAGGTCGGGGGCAACGTCGATCCGGTTGAATGGTGGATCAGTAATAAGGCTCAGTTCCCAAAGCTGTCTCAGATGGCCCTTGACATTCTCGCTATTCCAGCCATGGCAGCTGACTGCGAGAGGTCCTTCAGCATTGCTAGGCTTACTCTGAGCTCCCAGAGGCATGCAATGAAGTGGGAGACTATCGAGATGCTTCAGATGCTGAAGAACTGGCTTAGGAACGGCGATATCGTCATCGGAGGAGTCATGAAGGGCAGCAGGCCGGATTGGGGATCGATTAAGGGGCAGCAGGGTTACGAATAGCTGCATTTGTATGTCAGTTCAGTCCAGTTCAATCCAGTCCAGTCCAGTCCAAGGGTCGAGGGAATCAATCCGATCAGATCAGGAGGGTCTGTCTGATCTGACTGATCTGAGAGCAGCGCTGGTGAAGATGGCTTTGGGGAAGAATTCAATTGCGCTGTTGGCCCACCTGGCAGCTGTCAAAGAATTCAGCTTGTACTGCTGCAGTGGGGCACACGCGCTTTTCCCAGTCAGGAATAGCGGTGTGCTTGATAGTGGTGGTGGTGTGCTTGCTAAGGCTTCCCTATTTGAAACACCATGGGTTGCCGAGTGTTGTCGACAATGAAACCCAGGTTTGGATATTGATCATGACGAGAGCGCAGAAGGGCGAGTGAGGTGTTGTCAGAGCGATTTACTCGTCGTCTATCTTTTCTACATAATATTATTATTATGATGACCATGCTGCAATGGCCGGGAAGCAGTACCTTGAATACCTAGCCAACAACTAGACACCCAGCGTCTCCAAATCTGACCCGACCTTGAAACACCCACCTCACAGATAGACGTAGCAGAACGGCGAGCCGCCAACGGTGTTCATCAAGTCTCCGAGTCGGATCGGCGGTGCAAGAGGCGAGATATCAATAATGTCGTCGAGAGTAACGTTCGGGCTCGGGGGCATGTCAAGGAACGTCTGCGTTCCAAAGACATCCTGAACAAAAAACCGTTAGCCGTAATCCACCACCTCGTCATCCAAGTCGCAAACACCGAACAACTCACCTTACGCTTCTCCAAGTCCAGCATCTGCCAAATCCAGTAAACCCGATCAATCTGCGAGTGATGCAAGAAGAACGCCGGATCCCCAGACGAGATGAAGGGATCAGCACCGGGGTCACCACCAATAGTAAAGTGGCCACCGCCATGCACACCCAGCTCACCCCTCACATAGCGCGGGTCACCCTGCATAACGCCCTGAAAGCGCTCAATCCCGGGGTTCTCCAGAATGAGGGTCGTCGTGTTCAAGAAACTCGTATACCGGCTCGCCACGCCGGCATTCAAATCCCTCTTCAGACAACGCGAATTATCACCAAGCGGATTCTCGGAACTAACCGAATCCGTCGTGCCATACTGAGCCAGCGCCACGGGGCCGATGTGCACCGTCATGTTGGCGAAGGGCCCCGTGGTGACGCAGCCGCCGCCCGAGCCGGCGGGGAGGGGGATCAGCGCCTCCGCGTTGAAGGGCTCCGTGAGGATGAGGCCCTCGTGCGGGATCGCGTCGCCGTTGCCGCCGAGCGAGGTGTCCGACCCGTCGAACACGGGCGACGCGGCAGGGTCTGCGATGTCAAGGCCCCATTCCCAGTAGGGCACCGTGCCGCGGTAGTTGCACTCGGTGCGGAGTTTCTCTTCGTACGCCCAGGTGTAGTAGCGGTGCCAGGTCAGGAAGATGCCCTGGGGGGTGGTTTGTTAGTTGAGGGCTGACTGGGACGCGGCAAAGGTGTGGGACGAACCGAGAGATGGATGTTCATGGTCTGCATGAGATGGATGGCCACGAAATCGTCAAACAGGGACTTGGCGCCGGGGGCGGTGGCGGGGCCGAGCAGACTGGGCTTCGTGCGGAGGCACTGCACGGCCGCGATGTACTCCTTGCGCTCTTTCTTGGAAAGAGTTCTCCTGAGAGGTATCAGTAAGCTACCGCCCCTGATTGGGTGGGTAAGACACGCAAATTTACCATTCTCTGCGAATCCTGAGCTTGTCCGGCGAGCAAGTGTTGGCGGCGGCACGGCGAGACTTGCAGCGGATCTTGGGATCCGTGTTCTTGTAAGCCAGCTTGGCCAACTCACTGAGAGCCTTGCCGTTCTCGATCTGCGCGGGAGTGAAGTCGGACAGCTGGGGCACCTTGGGAACCGACGCGCCGAGGACGGACGCAATGAGTGCGAACACCACGGATTGCTTGAGAGCCACCATGATGAGAGACGTGAAAAAGGGAAAGTAAAGAACGGCAAACCAAGTGAGAGTGGCTTGGCCAAAAGGAGAAAGCCGCAAAGGACGCGGTCGACGGGCGGTTATATACACTGGACACGGCCGAGCTGCAACGCCACCGACATCCCACGATGGAACACTGCTGTTGGCGGCTACGGTTCCTTTTTTGGGTTGGCATGCGAATACATGCCTCACGTCGCTCACACGAGTTAGTGTCGGTTCGACCGGACCGTTGGTGCAGGGTCTAGACGGCTGCAACCCCAGCACGACGCAAATTAAATGCAGCCGCTGCCCCTGTTAAGCTGGGTCGAATTTCATGAGCTGAGAGGGCGAAATATGGCCATGGGAGCGACGTAGCTGAAGATGAGCTGTTTAACGGATTGTCAATAAGAGGAAGAGGACTAATACCACCTGAAGGCACTTTGTCCTCCCGTTGGGTGGACAACGCAACGAAGCACCGGAGAATAGGGAATTTTCAACACGAAGGACATTCCTAATGCAGAAAAGAACGTGCCATTCTCCGACGCGGCTCGGAGAGGTGGCAATCCGAGTTCAATAGCGCTAGAAGACGGCCGTCCGAGCGGTACGCCAATGCATGGAGCCTGCAGGGCAACGGCGAAGCCAGCAGGGGGTTAGCGAAGCGGACCAACGAGGGCAGAGAGGACTCGAAGAGGGGACGGGAAACACGTGGAAATAGTAGGGAAAGCAGCAGACTTTCCGGGTAATCGGATCTTTATTGAATCTCCAACGAATTGAGATTAGATCCCCGGTCACAGATGGCCAAGAAGGTAAACTTCCAGAAGAAACAGACACTGGTTTTTGGCGCGAGTCCGCGGCGCCGAGGATTCCAGACAAACAGCCTTCTCCGGTAGCGAAAGCGTAGACAGGGGTGGTATGATGCCGGGCCAAGATCCAGGGGCTTCCGCCTCAGCAACGGGAATACCGAAGGAAAAGTTGCCAAAGTTCGAGTTGAAATCATTCGAGAGCTGAAACGACGCCCTTGCGTGCGTCGTGGCAACAACAGAAGAAGCTCACTCGCATGTTTGCAACCAAACTCTAAGACGTTAGAGACGAGTGGGATTCTCAGTGGTTCAACTACCTTCTCTGTATCTTTCAACCCCGAATTACATGCTGAAGAGGCCTAAGAGGGTACGTGGCGAGTCACTCCTGAGCCCGCAACAATGATTTCCCCATCGCCGGCAGCTCGACCGACTTGGCCTTGCCGTCCGCACCGAGCGTAAAGATGAGCACATCCGTCGGGTAGTTCCCCCACCGGATCCTATCCCCCTCGGCCCACGACCCGCAGTCCTCAATCGGGAGGATCCCCTCCAACCCGGCGACGCCGCGGAAGGCAATCTTCGTCCCCTCGCCACCATCCCCCTCCACCAACCCCATGGGGTAGAACCACACGCGCATCTCCCCCTCCATCCCAGCCAGCGAGCCCGTGTTCGCCTTCAGTAACTCCATAATATCAACACCATCACCCACCAGCGCCGTCATACAAATAGCCGGCTCATCATCGAGGATCTTAATCTCCATCGACGCGGTCGTCGGCGGCCCCGCCTCCTCACCCTCACCACCCGCCGCCAGCGTATACTTACCCACCAAGTTCGCCATCGCCTGATCCCGCGCAGCCTGCTCCATAGCCGGCAGCCAAATATCCAAAAACAGCTGGCGAATCGCAACAAAACTGGCCCCGGAATCCGGCCCGCCCGTCAAAATGGAAATGCCCATATCATAATCCGGCACAATCCCCAGCAGGCTGGTGTACTCGGCGCCGCCGCCCTGCTTGGAGTAGACGTCGACGTGGCGGTTGCGGGTGGTGGCGGGGTCGGAGCTGACGGCCACGCGGGGGCGCATGATTTCCCAGGGGCTGCCCATGGAAAAGGAGGGTGTGGATGTGTGGCTGACGGGGCGCAGCCACTTACGCGTGGTGATGGGGGAAAGCAGGGTGGAGTTGAGGATGGAGCGCCCGAGCGAGGTCAGGTCGTTGAGGCAGGAGTAGTAGCCGCCCATGCTGTGGGGTGGTTAGTGGTTGGGTGTGGGATGGGCTAGATGGGGTGGGGGGGTGGCTTACGGGGCTTCGTCGCCAAAGTCAAGGTCCCACCCGTCGTAGACGACGGCGTCGGTGTCGTTGCCGGGGTAGGTGACATAAGTTCGTTGCAGGTCAAGGGGTTCGATGAGTTGCTGGACCACCAAATCCGGGAACGCAATTCCGGTGATGTTCTCGACGGCGTAGGCGAGGAGCTGGAACGCCATGTTGGAGTAGTTGGGTGTACGGTAGGACAAGGCCAGGGGATAGGTTTGTTGCACAAGCCGCATGGCTTCTTCCCTCGTGCATGGCGCGTTTGGTGGTGAGCCACATTTGACAACCTCGGATTCCTTCAGCTTGCGAAGACCAGGAATTGAGGGCAATGACGTAGAGGCGTCAAATAGACCGTCTAGAATGGAAAGCTATTAGCATGGTTCCAGTCAGAGGATTAGGGGCCAACCGTACAGTCCCTGGATATTCCGCTAATCTGGCTCGCTAGGGATCCCACCGTGACCTCAGACCAATCCACGTCACTGGTAGCATCCAGCACCTCGTGGTTCGCAAGTTCAGGAATGAACTTTGTCACAGGCTCGTGCCAGTAGTCATACGCCAACTTCGTCAGCATCGTATACACCGTCACAACCTTGGAGATGCTGTGGATCCGGAAGAGCGTGTTGGGGCCAACGACGAGGGAGCTATTCTGGCCCGGAGCATGGTTGTAGTGGCGATGAATGGTGGCATTCTCCTTTGAGAGCGAAGAATAGACCTCGATGGCAAACCAGACTTTGTCTTTGTCGATGTCAGGGCTGGCCGCGATGGCTTCGTCAAACTTTGCCTTAGCGGCAACCAACGCCGGGGCGGTAACATCAATCACCGAGGGATAGGCGGGTCCGAAGAGGGGACAGTTTTGAGCCTGGCAAATGGTGCCGGCAAAGCCAAAGGCGAGCACAATGCGCGATACCGTGGGTCTCATGGTGACGGCGAAATCCCGGTCGGAAGGGAAAAGTAGGGCGATGAATTCAGGGACGGCGGGCTCTAAGTCCTGACCGAGGCTCGGCTGCCCTTATATGTTAGTCGGAATCCACCCAAAATTCCACCAGGGACGACGCTTTAACCGTATTATGATGCAATTACAACCCTCTCCCTAGTACGCGGCCCGTCAGCCGGTCCAATGAATATCCAAGAAACCTTGGAGTTGCGCGGGAGGATCGGTATGCCGGTAATGTAGGGACAATCCCTAAAATCCACCGGCTAGGACCCAAGGACTCGGTTAGCGAGGTGAATAAGGTAGAACCGTGCAGATACGACGGCCCGACTGACCACGGATTTACACTCGAAAGGTTTGTAGGAAGGGTCCTGAATGGGCGAACGAGCTACGCAACTTCTGCCAACCTGCGCTAGATGAGCCAAGCCCGTAGTCAGGGCGCATCGGCGAGTCTGCAAAAGTGGTCCTTCCTTAATCTTTGTTGAAGGGAGATGAGACATGATAGCTTATTGGTAACCTCTCCTGCGGCCGTAGAGTGTATAGGTATGTAGCTACTCACGTCCTGTGATCCTTTCAGCTCTTCGATGTATGATCAGGTAGCTAGTATCTCTCGCCATGCCCTGTAGCCTATTGGTACTCTTGCCAAGAAGCCTAGAAGGTGGGCCGGCTCGTCGCGGGCTGTTGTGGTTCCGCGGATGAGGAGAAGCGGCGGTGCCAGCCGCCGGAGCGGGAAGCCCTGTCTCCACGTCGTCTCATCTTCTGGTGCAACAACAACCTCACGCAGTTGAGAACCAAGATCGTCAAGTTCATTGGCGTCTAGGTGGATTCTGAAATGGAACCCCATTTTGTGTATACCCCGTTGGGCCAGCCAACCGAGCAAATTCGGCTCCTCACCATCCACCCCGGATTGGCAGACTCGCCTCTCCAATGCACCCTCACCGTGGTGTCGCTCAAGCCCAATCCGCCGCCGTACGTGGCTATCTCATACACATGGGGCCCTCCCATGCCAACCGCCGTCATCACCATCGATGGGAAGCCCATGGTTGTCCGCGAGAGGTGCCGCAACGCTCTCCGCACGATGCGCTCGCATCGCATCGACGTGCCGATCTGGATCGACGCCATCTGCATTAACCAGAACGACACGCACGAGAAGAGCTTCCAGGTCGGTATGATGGGGACCATTTACCACGGTGCCCAATCCGTCGCAGCCTGTTTGGAGTGTGGCGACAGTCTCACCATGATGCGAAACCTGTATCCCCTGATCCCACCGACTCTCGATACCAGCCAAGCGCAGGACGAAATCTTTGAGCGCTGGCAGGCCGCCGTCCACGACATGCTTGGCAACCCATACTTCACACGCATGTGGATCGTACAGGAGATTGCTCTGGCACGGGAGTTGCATCTGTACAGCGGTGAGGACGTGCTGGACTGGTCCGCGTTTGGGGCGCAAACGTATGACTGGCGGGGAAAGATGATGTCGCTCAAGCGCTACCCTCCTGGCCCAGATCTCGAGCGCGCGCTGAAGGATCTGTCTGATACTCGGACCGAGATGGGGACGAACAAGGCGTATGCGCACCAGAAGCGGAACCTGACACCCACGCTCACGGGACTGATGTCTAGCCATCTGGCGCGGGGATGCGAGAACCCGAGGGACAATTTGTACGCCATGCTGCCCATGCTAAAGCACGCGGGAGGGTTCGACTCGCATCAGATGCAACCAGCCTATGACAAGTCGCCGTGGGAGGTGCTTTGGCAGTATGTCAGTACCATCCGGTTTCCTGGGCCAGCCTGAGCTGCGACAGAATTCGATATCCACGGGCTTCGAGCTGTGGACAGGCCTCAAAACCTTCGAAAGCCTAGTTGAGTGCTTCAAGGTCCCGGCGGCCGATATTGCAGCCTTTTTCGAGGCCCGCGCTACACAACAAGCCGCGAACAGTTTGAACCTCCCCGCTCCTCCGAGCCCCATCGAAACACACTTCCTGGGCTACGCCATGCGCGTCAGCTGTCCTAACGGCAGTGCATACAACGGCTTGCTTGGAGACAACGCGGCCCTGTCCAGCTTGCCCCAGCCAAGACGCTACTTCCTGGCTATCTGGCCGGGCCTGCCAACAGCCGCCTTCACGCTCGGACCGAAGCTGACCCCCAACGAGCCAGAGGGATTTACCATCGACGGTTATTACCCCTTTCCAGGTGACATCCAGGCTCTCCAACGCCTTCCGGAGCGGTGCGACTGCCGTTCCTCCTCCTGTCCAGGAAAAGCGCTCCAAGCGCGACATCTGTAAGTGGAGTCTGGATCCCGCAGGGCAACACGACCCACCGTGCCTGAACCCCGATTAACCCGTTTATGTTCCCGCCAGACATGACCCCGCAGGACCTCCTCTCCATGGTCTTCCGACCCAAGCCACCCCAAACAATCCCATCACCTGCTTCACCACAGCACACACCCAGTCCTTCGTCCGGATGTGGGAGCCCGGGTTGCCGCAAGAAAGCAGGACCGGCAACAATGACATAGAGTCTACTAGCCGGCCT